CTTCTCTTTAAACTCTGTTATAGTTCTAGCCTTCACAGCCTCCTCTGGCAAGGAGTTCCACAGGTTGACTATGCGCTGTGTGTAGAAGAATTTTCGCATATTAGTTTTAAACCTGCTACCCATTAATTTCATTTGGTGTCCTGTAGTCCTTATATTATGAGAACTAATGAATAACTTTTCTTTATTGACCCTCTCCTCACCACTCATGATGTTCTATACCTCTATCATATCCCCCCCTCAGTCTCCTCTTTTCCAAACTGAAAAGTCCCAGTTGCTTTAGTCTCTTTTCATATGGGACCTGTTCCAAACCCCTAATCATTGTAGTTGACCTTTTCTGAACCCTTTCCAAGGCCAAAATATCTTTTTTAAGGTGAGGAGACCACATCTGTACACAGTACCATAGTTTTATAATTCTCCTCCTCCTCCTTCCCCTGGCTTCTGTCTTCCAGCTCCCTCCTCCCAGGTTTCCCCCTCCCCTTTTCCACCCTCTCTCTTCCCCTCTTCCACCTCCTTTTCCCAGTCTCCACAGAGGTTAATCTCCCCCCCCGCCGCAGTTTTGTTAAATAAGGAGAGTTTCTATTTTTGAACACACGTGTCCTTTATTTTTTACATCAGGAAGGGGGGCTAGGGAGAGGTAAGTGGAAGGAGGTGAAAGAGGAATGGGGCACGAGCCCCCGATGGGGAGAAGTGGGGTGGCTCTGCGGGCTCCTTGGTGTGGTAGCTTTTCTGCAGGGTCTCCTGGATCCTGACAGCCCCCCCGATTGACCACCCCCCCTGGATGGCAGCCTACGGCAAGTGCAGCCGGGCTGATGGCCGAGTGCTGTGATGTGCCGAGTGCAGGCACTCAGGGCACTTCAAGACAGGACTGCTTTGCTGTCCCTCATCGAGGTAGACAAGCAAGCGGGGAACCCTGAGAACTGTCTGGGGTGGGGGTCGGGTTCCTTTAAGCACAGCCCTCGGCTAGCCTGAGGCAGCAGCTCCACACTCTAAGTCCTAATCTGATGCCCTGCCAGCACTGGTTCTGGCCAGCCTTAATCTCGGTTCAGGGTCCACTCAATGTGGAGATGCTATTTCGAATTAGCAAAACGCTAATTTGAATTAGTTTTTAGGTCTAGATGCACTAATTCGAATTAAGTTAGTTTGAATTAGTGCTGTAGTGTAGACATACCCTATGATGGTTTTGTGAATTGCATTTCCAAGTTTCCTTCACTTTTAAATAAATTTAAAAAAAGCAGTTAAATGCCCCAGCGTGAAATGCTTGTGATGTATCAGGCCAAGTGAAATCCTTAGTTTGAGCCCATACAAAAACAGGTAACACATTTTGATTTTTGTTTGACTGAGACCATTGAAAAATTTTCATTGTCTGTTGATCTGAAATTATTTTTTTTGTTTGGTTAGTGAACTGAAACATCAATGATTTACAGGGTTCTGTTCTTAAATTCTGCTGCATGAAAACAAAAAAATATATGCAAGATACACAGATGGCAAAGATAATTTGGAGCAAGCAAGTTTTGCTTTTCCTTCTGTTCCCACATTGTGAGCAGTCTACAACTTTTTCTTGTATTAATTGTTCAGAATTATTCACCAAGGGAACCTCTACACAGCAGCGTTGTTGTGAAATAACAAAGTCAGGGTCTACACAGCAAGCCCGTTATTTCAAAATAACGGATTTTGTAACCCTCATTCTACAAGGAATAACGCCTATTTCAAAATAGGGTGCGTGTGGACGGGGCAAATGGAGTTATTTCAAAATAACTGGCCTCCAGGGTTTCCCACGGGTGCCCTGGCATTCACTCTTCTCACATTCATCAGAATTCTAGTTCCCCTTCCTCTGCAGCCCTTAAAGCTGCAGCCACAGGGGAAGGGTTTGTGGCACAACACAGGCCCAGCCAGCCCGGTGCCACGCCGCAGCAGCCCTCACTGCCTTCCCTGCTTCTCTGGCAGATCCCAGCATGCCTCCTGTGCCCCCCATGTCTGCCAGCAGTGCTGCAAGCAGCTCCCAAGCCCCTTCCAGGGGGAGGAAGTGGTGGGCACCATCCGGGTCTTGTGCAGAGATCCTGGATCTAATTGAGATCTGGGGACAGGAGGCAAACCGCCAGGATCTCCACACCAGATGTAGGAATGCCAAGACCTACAGCCGGATGGCTGACAGCCTGGGCCAGAGAGGCCACATGTGCACCCAGGAGCAGGTGTGCATGAAGGTCAAGGAGCTCAGGCAGGCTTACACAAAGGCCAGGGAGTGCAGCTCCCACTCGGGGTAGTACCTCAGACCTGCCCCTATCACATCCTTGGGGGGGAGGGTCAGCCCCGTCTCCCGTTCCCCCCTTATTGTGGACTCTGGGCTGGAGATACTCACACACCTCTTCCCCCCCCCCAGCCTCTCCCCCCTCTGCCTACCAGTGGGCAGGGATAGAAGTCCTCTCCCAGCTGTGTAGGTCACAGATAGCCTTGCTCCAAGCACATCACCATCACGTGATTTGAGACCTTTGGGGGTTGGCTAAGAGATGAGGGATAGACTTCAGGCACAGTGTCTCTTGGGATGACTGCCATTCTCTTTGTTCTTCACAGCTGGACCAGCTGCAAGTGAGGCTCCCGCAGTACCTCCCGCACCAGCGTCCCGACCCTGTGGGAGCTGCCACTGCAGAATCAGAATCACAGAATCCTAGAATCCTAGAGTTGGAAGAGCCCTCAGGAGTCATCGAGTCCAGCCCCCTACCCAAAGCAGGACCAACCCCCACTAAATTAGATGAGTCCGGGAAGACCTTGCACGAGAACACATGGCCTGCCTACATGGCCTCCAGTGATCTCTGGACAGGCAGGGTGGAGGGAGACATTCTGTCTGACCCCCTGACTAGCTGGAGAGCAAACTGCCCCAGAGACAAAGGAGGGAAAACCCCAAACTTCCTTTGTCCCAGTTTGAAATTCCTACCTACATTCCTATTGGCCAACTCTACCTGGCTTAGGTATAGTTAACCCCTTAGTCCCAGGCTGCTGGCCATCTCTCATGATTGTGACAGAGGTGTTTGGGCATCCTTCTCTCAGGTAGCACCTACCCCATGGCCCTTTTAGCTGAGGGACCAAAGCCCAGAAAGGGCAAGCGGGGCCCGTTCACACTGTACCTAAATTGCGAGACTGTCAACTGAACAGGAGCCTGAGTCACAAATGCATTGTCCATGTGCAGCTCATGGGCAGTCGTTTCATTCTCTAGATTTGCAGGGATGCATAGTTTCAAGCTTAAGCTTTTATCAAACCCAAAATACCCTTCATATTTTGAGCAGACTTAGAGTAAGCTTCCCTTTGCTTCTTCACCCCATGACTATTTGTTGCGTGTCATTAGATGTGCAGAACTTGCAGTGATATCAGTGAACTACGTCTAGAATACGCATGAGAAATCTGCAGTATGGACTGGAGAGCGGGGTTTTGCTTTCACCGTGTCCTGTATAGTTCTACGGCAATATTAATAGGAGAAACTATGATGGGCCTTTATTTAAAAATAAAGTCCCGTTTCCTCTTCTTGCGCGTCAGAGATTTCCTGATGCTTCAAGAAAGCCAGGGTTTTTCTTGCAACTTGGCCAAAATTTCACTATTGTGCAGCATGCTGTGTGTTGTTGGGTTCCTGTCCCTCCAGAGGCGGCTACATTGTTCTTCCTGTATATCGGGCTCAGTCCTGAGAAGTGCTGAGTGCCCTCAAATCCCATTGACTTCAGTTGGAGTTAAGAGTACTTAACATGTTAATCAAGCACTCTAGGCAGCTGCAAGATGAAAGGCACCATGTAAATACTGTTACTTCTATGGATGATTGAAAACCATCAGTTTTTACCAGGCTACAGTCTGTGAAATCTGAAAGGTTTACAAGAAAAGCATTGCTCTAATGTATTGGGTTAAAAGAAAAGCAGCTTGACTTATATGCAGTACCCTATCTGCTGGGTCAACTGCATGAATAATAATTTTCTAAATGAGTACAAGGATCAAAACACACATTTGTGAGTTTCTGGAGGAGGCACTGCAGTGTCCTGGCTGAAAAGAGGCTAAATATGTCTTTAACCAGAGAAACAGCATACTTTCTTAAAATGCCTTAATTCATGTTTACTCAAGCTTAAATGTATAGTTGCATCACAAAATGAAATGCCTTGCACTTAATTTTTTCTGTGCAAGGAAACCGAGGCAGATGAAATGCAGCCTGTATTTAACCGGCATAAGGGAGGGGATTTGTAGCTCAAAGAGAAAACAGAAAATACACAATTTAGGCTGATGATTTTTGTGTATGAAGGGATCATCATGGTGACCCTCTCTTTGGCCTCTGAGAGCTAGGCACAGCTGCCGCTTCTGGAGTCTGTCCCCACTGCCAGGGTGGATGTGTGAGAATAAGACACTGCATAAGACTTTCTCTTTCCCAGCCTGACTCCCACAGGCTCAGTATCCAGGTGTCTCCACCTTTGTGCTCTCCCCCTCCCCTGTGTCCCTCTTGGCCTCTTATGGTGGTGTGAGATGTTAGCCACACATGGTTTTAACCAGGACTTTGAATTTCCAGACTTACCTGTCTATATTTCTAACATGAACTGAAAGAACTTTTGAAGGTAGGTGTAATGGGGTGTGCTTCCCATACTAGCCCTGCAAGAACTGACTTGGACTAGCTGGGCCTAATTCACTAATTAGGCAGCAAAGGGTATAGGCTGAAGGCTGCTAATTAGAGAAAAATTCACCTGTGAGAGACAGGCAGGGCTTCTCTAAAACAAGAAAATGGCAACACAAAGGGTGGTAGGGAGAAGGCTGCAGCCCTTCCCTCGGGATAGGTGGAATGTTTGAGATGGTTGCTTAAGGTTCCTCCCTGGGAGGAGGGACAGAAAAGACTGGCAAACCCACAGGAGTGGAAAGGGCAGGAGGCATGGGAGTGGCTCAGGGAAAGGTGGCGAGAATGGATGTCGGCTGCCATGTAGAGGGTCCCTGAGCAGAAACACAGCATGGCAGTGTGGGACAGTGCAGGGGAGCCTGGACTACCCTGCCTTGTCCAAAGTGTGGCTTTCGGACCTGTTTCAAGTCTGGTGCGCCAAAGTACGCAGGCAGGGCTGAGAGTCAGGAATTGTTTTGCATAACAATGCAGATGAGGCAGGGTACGCGAGACCAGGTCAAGAAACAGGGCAGTAGAACGTCAGTGCTTTTGCGCAAAATCAAGCGGCCAGTGTAGACACCTGGCAAGTTTTTGCACAAAAGCAGCTGCTTTTGCCTAGCCGCAGCCGTGGAGTATAAGTGAATTAGGCTTTATTATTGTATATAGTCGATCTTTTAGTAATTGCTTTGGCATTGCTTTGCGCTGTATTAATTGCTTTAGAATTTATAGTATCAGAGGGGTAGCCGTGTTAGTCTGAATCTGCAAAAGCGACGAGGAGTCCTGTGGCACCTTATAGATTAACAGATTTGTTGGAGCATAAGCTTTCGTGGGCAAAGACCCACTTCGTCAGATGTGTATTTAAGGTTTAAATTGTGTAGTAATTGTTCTTAAGGAGTGTAAAATTTAAACAACTGTATTAACTGCTTAAAGCTTGCAATAAATAAGAAAGTGGTTAAGTAGCTCTGGCGTGTCCTGGTTTCCCTTGGATCTAAAATAAAGTGAACCACATGACAGACAGTGAAGCAGAAGACTGTTTGGCTGTGTCTGTTTGGCCGCTTTTCCGGAATAAGCTGCGAGCTGTCTACACTGGCCCTTGAATTTCCAGAAAAGCAACGATGCTCTACTGTACAAAATCAGCCGCTATTCCGGAAAAACTATTCTGCTCCCGCTTGGGCATAAGTCCTTATTCCGGAACACTGTTCCGGAAAAGGGCCAGTGTAGGCAGCCCAGTAGTCTTTTCCGGAAAAAAGCCCCGATCGCGAAAATGATGCTCGGGGCTCTTTTCCGGAAAAGCGCGTCTAAATTGGCCATGGACGCTTTTCCGGAAAAAGGGCTTTTCCGGAAAAGCAGCCTGCCAATGTAGACGCTTTTTTTCCGGAAATACTTATAACGAAAACTATTCTGTTTTAAGCATTTCCGGAAATTCATGCCAGTGTAGACACAACCTTTGAGACTGTGGGAGAGCAGGAACTTTAATACACACCTCCCTGCCCCTGGAAACCAGGTAGTTGCCTGGCTGGAGAACTGTGAAGGGCTGCAGGGGACAAACTGATGGGTGTAACTTGTGGAAGGGGTGTTGGCCTGACCAAGCTAATCCCTGGAACTGCCAGGAGGCAGTGCTGTCCCGCAGTAAGTAAAGTATCCTGTCACAGTAGGGCCTAGTCCTGCATTGGCTACCCCCTTTATCTTAGTTTCCTTAGCAGAAGTCATTTGTGCATCAATAATAATAGAATTCTGTGAATGTGCATTCCCTCGGTTTTGTAGCCATGCCCATTGTATTGACCAATGATGGATGTAGAACGAAGGAGACAAAGACCTAATAAGCACAAGACACAACCCCGGTCTTGGTGAAATCAGTTCAGTATTTGGTCTTGACTATGTCAGGAGCTGGACCAGATCACCTTGGGTATGTCTACACTACCACCCTAGTTTGAACTAGGGTGGTAGTGTAGACATACCAAGATGCAGAAAGGTGAAGGCAAATAGGACAAGAGAATCTGAAATAAACACATGCCCCTTTCTGTTCCAGTCACTTTACTAATCACATGGTTGAAAAATGCCATACAGCAAAGCGTGTGTGGTTTGATGCAGCATAAAGAATGCCAATTACATTCATTTTCTCCATCTTGGTTCCTTTAATCTGCACCCTGTGGGGAGTCAGGGCTGGCTTGAATCACAGAAACAAAAACATTTTTCCAAACAGAAGATACTGCAAATAGCAAAAACATGTCAGGACAACTATAAACTTCAATATATAAATATTAAATATCAAACAAATATAAATATTTCACTACTGGATAAAGGCAAGAAAAGTTATTTGTCTTTGTACTTAGTGACTCGGTTATGGTAAGACGTTCATGTCTATGGCTGTATCACTGCCATCTGTCTGACACTGGGCTTGGATCCCATGCACAAGTTGTGAACTGCATATGTCTGCAGGGACTCAGAGTGTGGGGGGTGGGCAGGAACATGGCTGTGCAGCCGCTATAATGTCAAGTCTGCTGTAGCCCCAGTACTGCTGTGCCTAGGATATGTGGAGTGTAGCTACCAGAGCTCCTTATGCATTGACCTCGGTGCCAAGGGTCAGCCCCAAATCTGTTCACACCCTAAGTCCTACATGAGCCCCCTGAGGACTTAAACAGTGCAAAGACCTCATGTCCTGTGCAGAGGGCTGAGTTTTAATACCAAATGCACAGCAAGTGGAAAGAGTTTATGCTCACCGTAGGCCCGATTTTTATCTTACCTTAGTGCAACTCCACAAACTTCAGAAATTACACCCAGTTCATAGAGGTGTAAATGAGAGCAGAATGCAGACTCCTATTGTCCTCGAAGGGCACATCTACACTACGACACAAGGGCAAATCTAATACGGTTGATTTCCTAGCACCCAATGTTGTGAAGTCGAAGATCTGTGTCCTCATCGTGGGAAAGAAGCGAATGTAATCTGAAGCAATGTGCCCCCTTTAGGGAGCCTTCTGTCAACTCAGAGAGCAGGGCCCTGTGGGCAACTTTGGAGTCTCATAGACTCATAGACTTTAAGGTCAGAAGGGACCATTATGATCATCTAGTCTGACCCCCTGCACAGTGCAGGCCACAGAATCTCACCCACCCCTCCCAGAATAATCCAATCACCTATATCTCAGATATTGAAGCCTTCAAATACTTTGAAGACCCCAAGATGCAGAGAATCCTCCAGCTGTGATCTGTGCCCCATGCTACAGAGGTAGGCGAAAAACCTCCAGGGCCTCTGCCAATCTACCCTGGAGGAAAATTCCTTCCCGACCCCAAATATGGTGACCAGCTAAACCCTGAGCATGTGGGCAAGACTCACCAGCCAGACCCCCAGAAAGTTCCCTATAGTACTTCTATGGGTCCTCTGGGTCCAAAACTCTGCAGCGAGTTATTAGGGACACATATTGCCAGTGTCCCATAAGACACTCATCTAGTCCCTCCCCCCAGCATGAGATAAAAGGGACACAGTGCGCTTGCATTTTTTGGTGCCCTGGTTGCCCGCACAGATGCCATAGCATCGCCAGCATGGAGCCCGGTTGACAGGAAAGCGTCGTCATGAATACACATCTGGAATACTGCATGCAGATGTGGTCTCCTCATCTCAGAAAAAATGTACTGGCCTTAGAAAAGGTTCAGAGAAGGGCAACTAAAATGATTAAGGCAGTGGTTCCCAACGTGGTGCCCACGGGCGCCATGGAGCCCGTCGGGCCCTTTCTGTGCGCCCGCCGAGTGATTAGGGCCGGCCCCCCTCCGGGCGCGTGGTGCATGGGTGATGCCGGCCCCTGGGCGCGCAGCTTATGGGCGGTCCCACCCCCGGGTGCAAGGGCTTTGCCGGCCCCGGGTGCTTGGCGTATGGGTGTCCTTGCCCCTGGGCACACGGCACAGGAGCGGCGCCAGCCCGAGGCGTGTGGAGCATGGGTGCTGCCAGCTCCTGGGTGCACGGCGTATGGGCAGCCCCACCCCTGGGCGTGCGGCACAAGAGTGGCGCCGGCCCCAGGAGTGTGGCGCATGGGTGGCACCGGCACCAGGCACGCGGTGCGTGCACAGCCCCACCCCCGGGCGCATGAGTGGCCCCGCCCCCAGGGGCCCAGCAGCCCCAAAAGGTTGGGGACCACTGGATTAGGGGTTTGGAACGGATCCCATATGAGGAGAGATTGAAGAAACTAGGACTTTTCAGCTTGGAAAAGAGGGGAGACTAAGGAGGGGCGGGATATATTAGAGGTTTATAAAATCATGAGTGGTGTGGAAAAAGTGAATAAGGAAAAGTTACTTACTTGTTCCCATAATATCAGAACTAGGGGCCACCAAATGAAATTAATGGGCAGCAGCTTTAAAACAAATAAAAGGAAGTTCTTCTTCACATAGTGCACAGTCAACCTGTGGAACTCCTTGCCTGAGGAGGTTGTGAAGGCTAGCACTATAACAGAGTTTAAAAGAGAATTAGCTAAATTCATGGAGGTTAAGTCCATAAATGGCTATTAGCTAGTATGGGTAAGGAATGGTGTCCCCAGCCTCTGTTTGTCAGAGGGTGGAGATGGATGGCAGGAGAGAGATCGCTTGATCATTACCTGTTTGATTCACTCCCTCTGGGGCACTTGGCATTGGCCACTGTCGGCAGACAGAGTACCGGGCTGGATGGACCTTTGGTCTGACCCACTATGGCCATTCTTGTGTTCTTATGCACATGGTGTCATGGTGCGCCTAATGGTGCTGTGCTCTGATGGGGTACACGTGTCCCTCCACCGGGAAGAGGATGAGGACAAAGCTCAGGGTGGCATGGAGGTGCTGCTCAGGCAAGGCCTGGCACTCCTGATAGTGCACCCGCCAGTCAATCCCCTGGACACAGGGCAGTGCCAGTTCTGGGGCTATGAGACAAGCTCAGGCGAGTGGGACCTCATTGTGGTGAGAGATGGGATGATCAGGGGGCTGCAGAACTTGTGTGTGTGGAAGATCATGTTCTTGGAATTCTGCAGGAAATCAGAAGAGAATCAGGCCCCCAGGTATTAAACTTGCTTGAGTAAATTAAAATAATGGGTTTATCTATGGTCACAGCTCTTGTTTTCTTTTGTAGTGCTTACTAGTACTCAGACTCTGATTAACACACAGTGACCTGTTAACTCTGCCCCAGCCAAAAACCCCGCACTGTACCTCTAACTCTGCCATCACTGTCTGGGGTAGGGTTGGGAGCTAGATGTGTCTTGAATCACCTTAATTTTCTCATCCCCCTGCACAACCAATGTGCATTTCAGGAGAGGCCTTACGTGGAGCTATTCAGTGTTCTCAGCACTTACTTGATATTATTACAGCTTTCACAGCCACGGAGATGGTTCACTGCAGTGTCATGTACGTTAGAGGGCAGCAGCTGGCTGCTAATGTGTCTTCCCCTTCACACATTCTCATTACCCCGCATTTGCTCTTGCCTTGCCACCCGCTCACTCAATGAGGAAGGCTGCAGAATGTGAAGAAGAGCTGAGATTTCTTCTTCAAAGCTGTAACAGTCAGCCTCTGTTCGCTTTACGGGGAACACATCAGGCCAGATCCTGCTCTCAGGCCTCAGCCCTTTTTTCTCTTCTCTTTCCTGTCAAATCTGGGTTCATTATGCTTCCAGGTGACATGAGAGACCATTCCAGTAAATAAAACTTACATTTTCAAAGAGGCCACAGGGAATTAGGTATTGAACTCTCACTGAATGTCTTAGCTGGCTTTGATCCCTTTGTAGAGCCAGGCTAAAATAACCTGCTTGGTTCTCTGTGTCTTTGGCAGTTTGGGCCATAGCCTGCTTCCGCGGAAGTAACATTAACTTCAGGGGCATGTGATTTGTGTCTTCGTGCAGGCTATGTATAATATCAGTACCCACACGTGCATGTTTAAAAGTCTTAGAGGAGTAGCCGTGTTAGTCTGTAACTGAAAAAAAAACCCTTAAAAACAACAAATAGTCCTGCAGCACTTTAGAAACTAACAACAAATGTAGATAGTATCATGAGCTTTTGTGGGCACAACTCTCTTTAGATGAATGAAGCAAGGGGTCCAGAGGTACAAATAGCCATTTATAAATAAATAAAGGCTATTTATTTGTACCTTGCTCATCTGAAGAGGTTGTGCCCACGGAAGCTCATGATACTATCTATATTTTTTTGTTAGTCTCTAAGGTGCTGCAGGACCATTCATTGTTTTTCATGTATTTAATACACAAAACTTGTTTATGTAGGGACTTTGATGTCAGTGAATTAAAGTGATCAATTTTTTGAAGGTACCATTTATCCAGTTACTAAACAGTGGCATCTAAACAGTTTCCCTCTACTTAAAACAGGCAACAGCTCGGACACTACTCTGGTGAGTTTGTAAAATTCCTTTTTTAATGGCAAATAACTGTAAGATTGAAAATCTCACATCGCTGCCTCTAAATTACACTGAAAAATGCAGCCCTCAGAGCTTTAGGAAACACAAGTGAATCAGTATCCTCAAAGTTAATGAATAAAAGAGCATTCCTGTCATCAAGTTTTTATTAACTGAGCCTAGAACTACTTCTCTAGGGGCTCTTCTGACTTTTTTTTTTCAAAATTTAAGTTGAACATTAGGTTAATGGTTACAATATTTTACTCTTTTCCTTGATTCTCCATATGGCCCCATCTTTAAGTAATTTTTCAACTGTTATATTAAACAGTAAAATAAAATTCAGAACAGATTTCCTTGGGTTTGAAATAGTTTTTTCTGTATGTCTTTTTTGGGGTGGGTAAATACAAATCATAACCCTTCTGTGTTAGGTATCATTACTAAGGCAGCTCTTATGTTAATGATTACTTACAGTACATGCTTATCATGGAATGGAATGCACATGATGACACTTATCTTTTTATTTTATTAAGTGACATGTATTAATCTTTGGAATAATAATCTCAGCTATCCATGATACAGTGACACATACTGCAAATGACACTGGGAAAAGCCTATTTATAAACATTCAATACAGTATTCTTCGTTAGAAATGATTACTTCATTTTATAGTCAAGAAAGCTGCCTCTGGTTAATGCTGTTTTGTTGTTACTGCTGTTGTGATGCTTAATTTTTAATGAAATTAAAATGTCATTTCTTTCTTTATTCCTGGAATATTTCACATTCAATTCTGTATGGAACTGCACAGGGGCAGCATTAGGTTTCCATTAGTGCTATTGTTTGCATCTCCTACTTTTTTCACAACCACTAAGGATTTAAAACATGTGGTCCCATGACAGTTTAAATAAGGTGGGCTAGGTTTTACAAAGCTGAAAAGATATTAAATATTTACTGTCTTTTTCTGTATCAAAAGTATAGGATAGTATACAATGAACAGTTTAACAGAAGACATATATAATGAGAATGAACTGCTATTGATGAGTAAGGAAAACTGGGCTCACCATTTATCTAGCCTTGGCAGTGGGATTTGTGCCAGTTAATCAGTGTAAGTATGTGATTCAAACTCTCCAATCATGCATTAAAACCTTGAGGTTGGCATGAGATAATTGTTCTGTGCTAGAACCAATGGTACTTACCATCAATATATTTTATTTTGTAAATCATACTTAAGTGAATACTACTGAATTAGTATCCAAATTGTGAGCAAAGATCTGGCAGCCTGAAAACATATGCTACTTTTGCACATAGGTGTATTGTATTTACATGAAAGTTATGTGCAGTCAAAGGAGAGTGGAAGTTAAATTATATACACATGGGAAACAGCTATTGGAGCAGAAAAGAGTGAGTTGCAGTAGAACCTCAGAGTTTCGAAAACATTGGGAATGGAGGTTATCTGTAACTGAACAAAACATTAATTATGTCTTACAAATGTTTACACTGACAAAAGAACACTGAATTAATACAGCTTGACTCTTTACTATATAGAAAAAATGCTACTTTTAAGCACCTTAATTTAAATGAAACAAGCACAGAAACAG